TGCAACCTCCGCCTCTGGGATTCAAGCAATTCTTCTGCCTCAGCCTCCCAAGTAGCTGGGACTACAGGTGCGTGCCACCATGCCCAGCTAATTTTTGTATTTTCAGTAGAGACACGGTTTCACCATGTTGGCCAGGATGGTCTCCATCTCTTGACTTTGTGATCCACCTGCCTCGGCCTCCCAAAGTGCTGGGATTACAGGCTTGAGCCACCGCACCCAGCCTCTGCCTGTTTTTGAACCTCATATAAATGATGTCATTCAGAATGTTTTCTTTTTTCTTTTCTTTTCTTTCTTTCTTTTTCTTTTCTTTGTTTTTTTTTTTTTTTTTTTTTCTTTTTGGTAGCTCAGGAATGGTATATAAGAGTATAAGAGTGTTCCGTTTCTGTGTGTGGTATTTTTTGCTCAGCACTATGTATGTGAAATTCACCCGTGTTGCATGTAGCAATAGGGTGTTTTGTTTTTTTGTTTTTGTTTTTTTATTTTGCTGTATAGTATTGCATTGTATGACTCTGGCACAATTTATTTATCCACTTTATGAATGGACACTTGAGTTGCTTTCAGTTTTGGCTAATATAGGAATAAAACTCATGAACATTATTGTCTACATCTTTTGGAAGAACTATGCAGTCATTCCCATTGGATATTTAGTTATAGATATCTGGGTTATAGACTATATGTTTTAGCAGATACTACTAAACAACTTTCCAGTGTTTGCACTAATATATGCTCCCACTTGCAACAGATGAGAATTCCAGTTGCTTCACATTCTTGCCAATATTGAGCAATGACAGCCTCTTTGAAGAGGGACAAGCATTCTGGAGGATATTTAGTGGCATCTCATTGTGGTTTTAATGTACATTTACCCGATGACTACTGATTTTTGTGCATCTTTTAAAATGCTTCTTGGAGCTGGGTGCAGTGGCGCACACCTGTAAGCCCAGCTACTCTGGAGGGTGAGGCAGGAGGATTGCTTGAGGCCAAGAGTTCAAGGCCAGGCTTGGCAACATAGCAAGATCCCATCTCTACAAAAAATTTAAAAATGAGCCACGCATGGTGATGCCCATCTGTAGTTCCAGCTACTCTGGAGGCTGAGGCAGGAGGATCACTTGAGCCCAGGAGTTTGAGGCTGCAGTGAGCTGTGATTGTGCCACTGTGTGCCAGCCTGGGTGACTGAGGTAGAGTTTATCTTAAAATAAAGTGAAATAGACTGGGTGTGGTGGCCCACGCCTGTAATCCCAGTAACTTTGGGAGGCCCAGGCGGGTGGATCACAAGGTCAGGAGATAGAGACCATCCTGGCCAACATGGTGAAACCTCATCTCTACTAAAAATACAAAAAAGTGAGCCAGGTGTGGTGGCGGGCGCCT